TCAGAAGCAAAAGCAGTATCAAATCAGTTGAATAAATTACTTGGAGAATTCAAACGCCGGAATATGATCACTGATAACAAATGGCGCCTGAAGAAACAAACAGATACAGCCCTGGCTACCTTCTTTAGTCTGCCCAAGATCCATAAACAAAACGTTCCATTGCGGCCAATCTTTGCCCTCAAAGGCAGCACCACCTATAATTTGGCAAAATTGATGTACTCGAAACTAAAATTCCTCCAAGAAAACACTAATGCCTAAGTCCGCTCAGATTCCAAATTCTTGACAGACCTCCACGGCCAAAGGATTCAATCAGACCAAATGGTGGTTTCCGTTGACTTTACATCATTATTCACATCAATTTCACCGGGTTTGGCATGAGACGTCTTGTGCAGGAAGCTTGAGAAGCTGTATAACGAAACACCGAGTTCGCTCAACAGTGAACACCTCATGATGTTGTTCGAATTTTGCCAAAAGACATACTTCACCTTTGCAGGAGCGACTTATGAACATATCAAGGGAACTCCTATGGGCTCCCCAATCTCAGGTTTAATAGCAGAATTGGTCCTACAAGAACTAGAAAAGATTGCCTTCGCCCCAACACCCCCCAATTTTTTAGGCGCCGTCACGTTGACGACACATTTGCTTTCATCAAGAGGAACATGCTGCAAAATTGTCCTGATCTTCTCAACTCGATATCCCCAGGTATAAAATTCACAAGAGGAGAAGGAAATGATCAGCAGCTACCCTTTCTTGATGTACTCGTCATGCGAACTTCCAATGGCGAGATCGAAACAATGGTTTACAGGAAGGTGACAAGCACCACACAGCTTCTCAACTTTCACAGCAACCATCGAATGGCTCACAAACGAAGCTGCGTGAGAACGCTGTCTAAAAGAATCCAGACTGACTGCAGTAATCCGGAGGTGAAAGCACGTGAGGCCCGACACCTCCGAGACCAATTTATGTGGAATGGCTATCTGAAGGCCTTCGCAAACCGATGCCAACGTGCTCGCCCACCGAGGACCCGACCAGAACCATTCCCTAGGATATGGCATGCGCATTGCTGCGGGACTAGGCGTTGGAACTGCGCACCGTCCCAATGCAACTGTCCCCGACATTATACCG